CACCACCCCCCACCCCCACCCAGACAGACAAATTCTCTTTCGGTACATCTAATTCCTACAGCAAACTAAAGTAGATGAGTAGATGTCAAAACAGGTGCACATATGAAGACAGCAGTGCTTCTGACAATCAATTAAAGGCTACCATTTTAAAGGACTTCACAGAGAAAATTAAATTAAGTGTCCAAAGTGACGAGACCTTTCCTAGACGATGAAGGACATCTCTGTCTCTGCAATTGCCTGACTTAAGCTGCATGCTGTTATACACCGGCTGTGCAGATAAGACATTTCTACAAACAGTGGGGGGGACGGACACCAGACGAGAAGCAGGATTTACTGCCCTCTCTATGGACGCAAGTGATGAAAAAACAGTAAATATCCCCTCTCGGAAAGGCTCCAAACTGTGAGAATTGCAGTTGAGAGGCAAGAGACTGAGCTCATGGTCAGAAGTTAAATATACATTACATCCTATTTGTTCTCATAGTTCAAGTTCAAAGACACAGTATTGCTTCAGTGAAGCCAATACAGATTTTACTGCTTCTGTAGATTTTCCTTTTATTCATTATTCTCTTGATAGATTTAGCAGCTGCAGGCTGCAACAGCTTAATAGTCACCATCTGTGCATTGTTTGTGCATTGTTTGTGCAGCTCTACCCTGTTGATCCAGAGAGACAAACACACACCACTTGATCTTGCTGTTCTACATGACACCTATAGATTTCTGAGTCTGCAAAATGGTGTAGAGTGGTCTGTTCTTCTTTAAAGAACCATCTGTGATCCAGTTACATGAAGCACAATAATGAGTAATCACACTGTAGGACCTGTTACTCCACTGGACAGATCAGGTAGTTTGCCATGCCATATCACTTTCAACACGTTTGAAAATAGCCAAATAACCCGAGTTTGAAGAGGTAGAGGTTTGTGTAGTTGTGGTGTTTCTCCAGAAATGCTCTTAATCTTGTGGCATGGTGCCCATTAAGAGAGAAGCCTACATCTGTGACATGTGTGATACGAAATGACCAGCTAGCTGTTAAACTGGCTGGATTAAAAATGCAGGACAACAGACCTGTGTGGAAAAATCTACATTAATACACAATGAATTGTTGTGAGAAGATGAAGCTGTGGATAACCCCTAGCTGGTACAACCCACATCTTTTTATCCCAATATCAAAAAATACCATAATATTTAAAAAAAAAAAAAAGTATTACTGACATCATGTCATTATCATGTTATCATACTACCTTTTGTTGCACATAGTCCAAGATGTTTTTGAAGTCCAGATCATCATAGTAGTGCTTAATCCCTTCTCGTATACTGCTCTGAAACAAGGCAGACGTCTAAAAAAGTGGAGGGGCAAAAACACACGAGAGGTGGTCATTGTTATCTGGTTGTGGCTGGAGCATATATATATATATAAATATATAAATAAATAAATAAATGCATGTAATCAGACATTCTAATCAGACAAATGTACCTTCTTTTCAAAGATGAGAGCAGTGGTGAGTGCAACTGCCTGGAGAAGCAGCAACACACAGAGGACACAGAGGAACTGTGGAGGGAGAAACAGATTCAGCATCATCCTGGTAAATGTATAGCAGTGGGGCACCAACATACAGTGAACAACTTCCATTGCTACCAAACACAAATCAACTTTGCATTTCCTCCCTTTCAATATATGAAAGACACAAAGCACAAACTAAAAAACAAGAACTAAAACTAGAACTCGAACTCGAGGTATACTCTAATCCTGTCCACTAAAGAGCGGTATCTGGGCCGATCTGGGAATATTTTAATGGATCAATTTCGGCTAAACTAAACAATTGATCATTCTGTACTCTAAAAGTGTACTCTAGGGTGTACTGTGTAATGTTGTAAAGCTGCTCAATATCCTGCCTCCACAGTGCAGCATTTCACTGCATATGCGAGAGGAAACTGAAAAATAAAATGAAACTATTCAGGTGCTTCAATGTGAATGTCTCTAATTTCTAAATCCAGGACTGGCAAAATACATGGATTTGCTAACTTAATACCAACGCTAATGCTTATTAGCAAAGCGCAGTGTACAGAACATTCAGGTAGAAGCTTTAAAACGGTACTTCTTGGTTTAACAAGACAAACGTCTACGAGAATGAGGACTAATTCTGGCTCCTCCAATAAAGAGCAGTATACAGCTGCTTCCCAAAGCTTTTCTATGGGACCATCCAACATATAGTTAATTAACATTAAATCCATGATTAACTTGATGACGGACAAAAAATGAAACTAGTCTGCTGTCTGGTTAGTGTGCGCTCTACAAGCCGGTGTTAGTTCTTGGCTAAAAATCACTAATGAGGAAAGAACCTGCACCCTCTCACACCACAGTAGGAGTGCAAGTAGACTGGAGTGTTTTTGTAGCGACAACAGCCATATCACATCAATAATTCAAAAAGGACCAGTGTGTAGCATTTAGTGGCATCCTTATTCGATAAGGAAGACAACAATTCACAAAATGAAAACCTATGAGTGTTATATTCCAGTTCTGCCAATAGATCCTCCTTAACAAAAAATTGGACAAAACTATACACAGAAATATACCCAATATTAAAAGGACTTGGGACTGGGGCTGAAAAAAGACTGAAAAAAGACCATGATGGAGAAATTGCTAGATAAAACTGATGATATTTATGGAACATTTGCTGAATTAAACTGAGGTAAAAGCTTGGTATAACCAACCAGTGCTGAGAGAAACAAATATCAGCGTATGAAGGAACATGCATACGTTTCACAGTGACTAACATTATCTTTATGGCTTCCTCAGTATGAAATGAGCTTCTCTTCATCAAAGCATTAGCAGAGACGTCACAGACATCCCTTTTGATTGCAAACTTTTAATCTCTTTTTTTTTCAGCTAAAGTTAATTAGATAGTTGCATAGCAACTACAATAATATATCCCAATTCCCTTTGAGCTTTCTATTACTGACAAAACCAACAGCTGTGCTTTTGCATTTGAGGTGAAATAAATTAATCCTAAGTGATCAATGACTTAAATGATTTATGAACTGCTGCTGTTGTGCAAACTTTTAACACACTCTATATTTCAGTTTCGATGCGTGTGTGTAATTTGTATATTTACATACAAATATACATGCATGTGTAAACACATACATGTTTGTAGTTGCACCCTTGTATGTATAATTGTCTGTTTTAATCCCGTTACCTACCTGTGTTTCTAACTTGGTTGAGAACCCAACTTAACCCAAACTAAAATGTTACCCTACAAAAAAAGCCACACGCACACACTTTAAGAAAGACTTGCCCTCATGGCTCCACTCCCACTTCCTCCTCTATCATCCCTACCATGTGCAGCAGGGTCTTGTTGTCCCTGAGGGATCCAACCATGCCCACCACCGACACTGTAAACATCACCAGGCCCAGCAGGATGAGCACAACAGCAGGAGCCAGGAAAAGGCCCTCCAGGGTTCGATTCTTCTGCCTTTCCACTTCGGCATACACCCCCACACACAGCACACAAAGACCCATCAGCTGGAGGGGGGAGAGAGAGAAAGAGAGGGTTCATGAGATAAAAACCTTGAAAAGCCTCACTATGAAGAACAAATAGAGTTGAGCTTTTTGAACTATATATTAATTTTCATGTCTTTTAGTATTTGTGTGAAGACAATGTGTGACATTACAGACACTGTTAACTTGTTCAGTTTGTTTTTTAATCATTTCTCTTCTATTTTTCTTTCCACTTCCTTCTTGTTTTTTGAATGGTAAGAATTATCATGCCATTTCCCCTCTCTTGTTTGAAAATGAAATTTCAATCTCAACAGACCATTCTGGGGCGCCCGGTTAGCTCACTGGGTAGAGCTGGCGACCCATGTACCGAGGCTGAGTCCTTGCTACAGCGGCCCAGGGTTCGAATC